AGGATTAAAGGATATAATGTATGTAAAGTTTTTAGAATGTTCCTGGTTCCTAATAATTAAAAATGTTCGCCCCTCCTCCTCCTTCTGTTCCTATTTCTCCTCTCTCCCCCATCTCCTCACCTCCCTTTTTCCAAACCAGGCATTTCAATGTCTTAGTTGTTATATAAACCATCACTACTTCTGAGGCCTTTTCCGACCATCCTACTAAAATACTTCCTTCCTTATTTCTCTGTTTCCTTCACAGCACCTATCTCCAATTGTAGTTTGTATATTTATTTGTTTTTATTTCACTGTTCATTATCTTTCTCCATGAAGAGAATAAAAATTCCATGCTAGCTGGGTCCTTGGCTGTTTTATCCATCATTGTACATATTATACGTGTCTGCACAGAGCAGGCTATCAATACGTATTTAAGAATGAAAGCTTGAGTCCTTTGAACAGGAGGGGAACTACAAAGGGAAAGTGAAATTCTGAATCACTAATAATTCTATAATATACTGGGGCAGAAGCCACACGGCTGAGTACTGCCACTGGGGCTGGGCATGAGTGGTGGGGGGTGAGAGGAAGCACACCTCTAACCTAAAAGAAAATGCCAAGCAGCTTGAACATCTCTGATTTCCAGGGCCTCGGCTGCGAAAGTAGCTGGAAGTGCCAAGCAGGGGACAGTGATGGCCGTCAAAAGGCTGGACGAGCCCTTAGACTTGCTTGGTGGAGGGATCTTACTCAGCAGCACATGGAAGATACTTTTCTAGGGACCTTCAGAAATATTTGAAAATTATCTTGCAGGAGGTTGAAGGTCTACTGTCCCCAAGCTACGGAAAGAACCAGGGAAACTTGAGTTGGGGTTGTTCTTGTTATCTGTGCAGTTGGGTAAGCCCGGAGAAAACTTGAATTACAATATTAATATTATCATGGCCAGGACTCATCCCCATGTGCAGGTTCAGAGAAAGAAACACTCTAGCAAAAGTTCATAACCAGTTCATTGATGGAGTGTCACAGTGAGGGAGGAAAGAGCCCTGTTTTATCAAAACTACATATCATCACCCACATGGCCTCCACAGGCTGTAAGGAATGTTGGTGGGGAAAAAGGATCATTTTCTATCATACTGAATGTTTTTGAAAAATCACATTTCTAGCATTAGCCAACAGTAAAGAATGTTGTATACACTTACATTATCTGGATACTGGGAAAGGCGCAAACTGGTAAACACCCTTAGTAAGGTGGGAAAATGTTAACACTGATACTTTTAATGAGAGGATGGTCATTTGAGAGTCAGGGAGTCACACCTGTGCTCCTTTTACCCCTTACTAGTTTCATTTAAAAAATGTTTAACAGGAGTATATAAAATAAAATGTGAATGGCCCTCTTCCTCCCCTACTGGTCAGCCAACCCTATTCCTTAGAGGTAACCGCTGTGGAATCAGGCTCCTGGGCATTCTCTCACCCTTTCTGTGTTTCCTTCACCTATACATACCCCATCACTTTGCGTGATCATCTTTTTACTGGTATGCTTCCTCTTATTAATAGGATGAGTGTGGTTGTATACGAATATCTTTGTATATATTTCAGGGTATCTGTAGACTAGATTCCTAGAAGTGTAATTACTGGGTCAAAGTTAGTTGAATTGAAAATTCCTGGGGTCCAGGTCTGATTGCATTTCTGCTTGTGAGCACTGATATGGGCACCCTCACTCCTTTGAACTGAGTTTGGACTAGGTGATCTTTAAATGCCTTTCTAGCTCTAACATGGTTTAAGTCTAAGATTCTTAGGCTCCTCTAGATGACGGCTGCTTTAGGCTGACTTCTGTGCTGTGATTTTGAGAATGATTCTCGATTTAGAAGCAATCCAGAGAGATAAGAAGAATTAAAAGAAAATGAGCAGATGAAGCTGAAAATGAACATGCGTTTTCCATAAATACCAAGAAAGGCCAGAATTGAGCCAAAGCGGACTAAATACCCTTCGTAAAAACGCTAGAGCTGAAAGTGGTGCTTTTACCATGAGCAGGCAACATAGATGTTTGAACTAAAGGAGTGTCTTGATATCTAAAGAGCTTACAGTTCTTTGTATTGAATGGAAGGCACCTTACCAGGGTTGGCATCAGCCCAATCCATAACCTTTGAGCTATAGTCTTTGTGACTGTGTCATTAGCTGGTTTCGTAAAAGCACATGGCTAAACCTGCCCAATCCTTGGCTGGGGATCCTTTCAGGAAAATCCAGGGTGCTGCTGAAGTGTGGTAGGTGACTCTGGTAGTGGAATTCTGTCTTTGAGTCAGGACAGAATTTTAGCCTTTCCCTGGTTTGGGGGTTTTGTCATATTTAAGGACCTATAAAAATTTTCTACAGAAAATGCTATCTTAAAAAGGTAGTTTCATTTTAATTGAAAGAGTGGTAAACTGTTTCCTTAAGATTCCACTTCAAGTTTAGTTGACGATGTCATTATTCATTTCCTTTTTAGGAATGACAGGTTCAGCCCTAGAGAATGATCAGCAGGTTGCCATTGGTAATTCAGAAACAACTAAGATGTCCAAACCCCATGACAGAGGTTTTAGGGTATTTCTAAGTGAGAGCCAGTGGATATTCTTAGAGCAGTTCACGCTAAATAATTGGTAAAGCTTCTTAATAAAATTTTGAACTTTCCAATTTATTTCAGTAGTACTAGCTACCAAATCTGTATTACTGAAATTTCTTAACTTTTATGAAATGGACATTTGGGGAGTGCCCATATATCACTAGACCTTATGGGAAGGAATACAGAAAAGTGAAATTTTTAATTTAAACAAGATATATAAGCATGCATATAAGTACAGATCCGAATTTCTCCAAAACAGGATGCCAAGAATTAACTTCAATGAATGCTCTAAAGATATAACCCTGATCTGCATACATGCTTTTTTTCTCTTTGGGCTTAAAGGTGCTGATCTAAGATGCTGATGGCTACATTTATTTCATCAGCATGAATCATTAGTATCATTAATCCCAAAAAGGTTAGGGTAAAGAAGTAGTTAGATGTACACATGATGTTATAGAGCTAATAGATGGCTATGTCTGTCTAGAATCCTCAAATGGTCTACAAATTGTTGTAATGAGTGTGAATTATTATTTTTGTCTTCAAACTTTTATACCAGTGCTGATGACTTTACTAGCATATTACATGGAGGTATGTAGAACCTAAGTGATATATCACGTCCTTTGGTTCTGTGGCTGAGATAGGAAATTACCTTCAGTAAGTAACTTTCATCGGTGATGGGCTTTTGGCTGGGTCCATGCCTATGCAGAAAGAAACTGCATTTGTTAGCCTCCCTTGCAGCTAGGTGTGTCCAAGTGCTGAACTTCTGACTAATGGGATATAAAGGGTAGTGCCATGTGGATGGTAGCTTCTGGGAACCCTCTTTACAGACTAATGGTATATGCACCCAAACCCCTTAGTCTTCATTACCTTCCCTTGCTGCTAATATAAGTCAGATGTAATATAAGTCTTGTACCAGAACTTTAGGACCATAGCTTTGGGACAGCAGAAGAAAAATGCTGAAGGAACCTGGGTCCCTGACACATTTGGGGATCAAATCTGCCATACCAGACCAAGGTTTCTACCTTCAGACTTTTATATGAAGAAAATAGACTTCTACCTTTTTTAAACATTGTAATTTAAAGCCAATTTCCATTAATCATCACCTATTCCTTTGATGGGCATTAGCCTGATTTTCTTCAATAAAAAAAACGTGGCACATTTTTTTTCCTGAAATCAGTATCAGGCAATATGATCAGATGTATGGTCCAGTAAATGGACAAGAAAGTTTCAAACTGAGATGACATAGAAAAAAACCCAGAATGAAAGCTTGCCATCTGTTTCTATTACACGTATATCAATAGTTGAGCTGGTGGTGCTTTGGTTAGAATGGTTACAGGTAATTTAATCGTTAGTGATACTGAAACGAGTAGAATGCTGATGGGGCATTCTACCGTGAGAGGCGTATAGACCTTTTCTCAACTTCACTATGTCAGGGTCAGTGACCCTCCCTACTTTAAGTCTCAAGAGGGTTTTGGCTGACCAGTTCCTCCCCACCCCCCGACAAACATACCTTTTGCTAGGATCATAAATGAGAGCATAAGTTCACTCTTCTACTCCTACCTTTAATTTACCTGTTTCTTCCCCCAATCATTTTCATGCCAACAATCCCTGGAAAAGGGGGAAAAAACAAAATCTAACAAACACAAATCCAAGGCAATACCCTGACACTGCTAATGAGCCATATCTCTGGATAAATCAGAGGTGATGACAGTGTAACTGGATTGTTGTGTCACTGGCCTAATAGGGAAAAAAGCATTTTTAATTTACTTACGTCTGCTGAGTGCATCACAGTAGTAGTTTGTTGGCTTTTTTCAAAAGCATCAGATGAGATAGGTTAGTGTCACTGCTCCCTTATCATCTTTGAATAAGGATTTTAAACTCCCAAGTAGCTGAATAACATGCAAGATATTTGCAGAAGGCAAAAGTGGACTCCAGACTCCTCCAACTTCCTAGAGTTTGCTTATTCTTGAGCCCCCAACTTCTTCATGATTTTGCTCCCATGGCTTCCCCAATCCAGGAAGTTTTCTTTGTATTTCACATCCACCCTATCTATCCTCATAGTTCCTTTCCTGTGATTTTGAAATTTCTTTTAAATTCTACTTACATCACATTGAATCCCAGAACTAGCACTTCTGTCATTGCCATTTACTACACTGAAGACATCCCTGAAGTGTGGCTCAAAGGAAGGACCCCCTCGGAGAAAGGGGTTGCCCAGATAAATGATTCACTCACTACAGAGATGGATTTTTTTAAAAGGTCACTTTCATTCTGGAAAGGAGGAAACTGGTTTTCCTGTCTTTTGAAGCATCATCACAAAGTCAGGAGATAGAGGGCAAAGCTTATAACCGTGAGGTTTAAATGAACATGGAGAAAAGCGGTCTCCCTGGGACGGGGTGTCTGATAGCTCACGTCCATCCTTCTCTTTCCCTAGCTGCTGAAGATGCAGAAGCAGCCTTGCTAACGTGCAGCAGTGACGTGACTCACGGTCGGCTGACATGGCAGGAAGTCACCTCAAGCTGCACTGACAGACGGGAAAGTCCAGAGCAGATTGAATGTACTTTTTAAGAAAAGGAAACAAAGGAGGCACTTTGTAGCTGATGGGCTGTGTCACAAGGTCAGAAAGCCCAATTACATTTGATAGTTCTTTGCAAGGCACAGGAGTACCCTGGGAATGCATTGATTTTATATAAAGACATTACTATAATATTTGCAAGCTACGCATATATGTTTTAGTCATCAAATACAGAACAGCATTCTTGTCGGCAGAATGAAATCACCCAATCTTCACTGGACTGAATTAAATAAAAATTAATTGCTGGGGTCTCAGCAAGGATGGTCATAAGAAAAATTGTGAAGCAAGACATATTCCCTTTCAGAGTGGTTGCCTGTTTTTTGGAGTTCTTCTCTTGTCCCAGGGGTTCAGGGACCTTCTGGGACCCTTTTCCTTTCAAAGGAAAGGAAGAGAACTCTTTCAACCTATCAATGAATCTGCAAATGTATGTGGTCCTGTGGTGTGCCAAGTACTCTGCAAGGGAGTATGAGAAGGCTGGAGAGGAAAAGGTCTTTGAGGAGCTCCATCTAGTTGAGGACTACAAGATGTAAACATATTGAAGGGTGAGTACTAGAAAAAGAGTTCTTTCAAGGGAGAGTATGATAGATTATGAAATGGCTATGTCAAGAGAACAGACATGCTGTGGGCATTGGGAGGAAGGTGAGATCAGTGTGGACAATGTTGGTCAGGGGAGTATTTGTGCAAAGTGAGGATATGGAACTATACTCCACATTAAAGCAGACAGAGCCCACTTTAAATAAGTGGCAAAGATCAAATCAGTTATCCCAGGAATGGTGGTAGCCAAGGTAGATATTTGAGTAGAAGGGTGGCTGCAGGTATGAGAGTCTGAAGATCTGGGTTAGTCCTGGTTCGGAAAGACAGTTGAACAGTGAAGCCTGTTTCTTCATCTGTAGAATGGATGTAATAAATGCCCTACCTGCCATCACATTAAGTGAAATAATGTGAATCACAGTGTAAACTATAACCCACATAATAAGCCTAAATTGTTGTTAATGGTGATATATTATGACTTTAGGAATAATTTTGCTTGTAGAGATACTGCTTAATTTTAAGGACTAAAGTGGTAATTTAAACATCCGTTCATCTGGAATAAGACAAGGATGTCCACTCTCACCAGTTCCATTCAACATGATATTGAAGTCCTAGCCACACAATCAGACAAGAAATGGAATAAAGGGTATCCAAATTGGAAGGGAAGAGGTAAAATGGTCATTGTATGCAAATGACACGATACTCTCTGTAAACATCCATTCATAGGTAATGAAGAAGAGTTGGAGGTGGTGGTACTAACTGTATATGAAGTCACAACACGTTGGTGACCAGTGAGTGCAAGCCTAAGCTTAGTTTGGGGTCTTGCTGGAAGCAAGGTGAAGACATTTGTGTTTTATTATTATAATTAATGCAGGTATCATCTTTCTAAGGATTTTTCCATTTTCTCTGGCAGTGAGGATATTATGTTCACAAAGTCCCAAATGAATATTACATTTTAAGTTTGGACTTACAGAGCTTGCACATTGCATGGTGCATAGTAAGAAACCAGTGTGTATTGAATGAGTTAGTTTTCTAGAGTTAAGATGCAATCTGGTAATCATTGCTTCTAATATGAGGAGTAGGAAGCATTTTTTTCCTCCTAATCTTGTTGGAAAAATAGTCTCTGAGGAAGTTGGTTTCTACACATTTTGATCATGTCCTCTGATCACAAAATATGTGCACTATTGTCAATCTCCATATTAAATACTAGTAAAGTTTGATTTCTTAATTTAGACTAAAAAAAAAGATTTCAATACATATATTGATACTTAAAAAAATAGTGATGTATTTGTAGTGGGGTCAAAATTCACACACCATGAATCAGATATGCATAAATTAAAAAATGAAGAAATGCATCTTTATTTTCCTTCACTGAGCTCATCTTACTTGGAACCCCTGTTTGCAGTGATGACAATTTCCATACTTTCCAGGCTAAAAAGTTCTTTGGGGTAAATATTGAGTCCATTCAAAGTTCAAACCCTCATACAGGGCAGTTTCTCCCCTCTCAAGAATTTCTCTCTCTTTCTTTTCTTGTTCTAGACTAGAGAACTGTGTGCCAGGTAAAGGGGGGAGGACTTCTGGTCCCTAGGTTGCCCCCTGCAGCCCATAGGCTTCTGCGGAGCAGCCGGCTCCCCAGGCTTTGCTGTTCATAGAGGGGTGATCAGCCCCATGCACCTCGGATATCGTGCTGACGTCCCTTGCTGATGTCCAGTGGGCCACTCACATGGTCTCCATGGGTCTGTGGATTCTGCACTCTGTCTCCAAGCCTCATCCAGTCAGATGGTTCCCTTGGTACCTATATCCTCCTTCTCCCTAGTCCCATCCTCTCTTTGCCATCTTAGTACCACACTGCAGTGTGTGATACCCCTGGGGGCTGGGGTGGCCCCAGGTCCATTCCCCCAGGGCAGGATGGCTGGAAATCTATGAGAAGCTGGCTAGTTTCCCTGTTCACACTGTGTTCACAGATTCCCCCCAAACCTCTCTGATTCTCCCTACCCCGGGTCTGGCCCTGGCCCTTCTCCCCTACCCCTCAATCAGCTCCTTTCTGCAGCCCAGGAAGGCTGTCATGGGGGCTTAGCGATTAATCCCTTCTTGGGACTAAGAACTGGCTGTCTCTCCCTTCTTCCCCAGAACCAGTCCTCTGACATCCAGCTCATCAGACCACACACATTTCCTTTTTAACCTTTTTTTTTTTTTTTTTTCTCAGCAAGACTCAGCTTTTGCAAAACAGGAGTGTTTGTTTTTAGACTTTTGTCTAACTATAATATTTTAAGACCTCATTTTTTTTTTTTTTTGGTACGCGGGCCTCTCACTGTTGTGGCCTCTCCCGTTGCGGAGCACAGGCTCCGGACGCGCAGGCTCAGCGGCCATGGCTCACGGGCCCAGCCGCTCCGCGGCATGTGGGATCTTCCCGGACCGGGGCACCAACCCGTCCCCTGCATCGGCAGGCGGACTCTCAACCACTGCGCCACCAGGGAAGCCCAAGACCTCATTTTTAAACAAAGTGCAGTGATGGCTCTTGTTCTCATCCAATTCTGGCCCTGGGTCCAATGGGTAGCAACTTCCAGAACAGTTAGGGAAAATGAATCACCAGAAACAAGAAGTATTGACTTAATGCCTCAAAAATTTTATTCCTGTCACAGATATTTAAGGTATTTTAGTAGTTGTGACACTACCCTGAAATGGGTGATGGTGACATCAGTTCCCTGGCTGCGAGGTGCTTGATCATTCATTCAGCAGCTTAAATGTTCCCGGGTTATGAGTCATTCACAAAATATTTGTTCAGTAGCTACTTCATTCCAAACACAGGAGAAGTAGACTACGTTTTTAACAACTGGTTGCTGAAAACTCTATGGGTAAACAATCCAGTGTAAAGATTGATGGAATAGGAATAAAGGGAGAATTTTAGGGGTCACAAACAGTGGAAAACCTTGGAAAAGGAGTGAAGTAGGGCCTTGTTCAGAACGGGGCACCACAGTTCGAAGCCAGAGGTGGATACTCTGGGAACCAGACAGAAATACTTTTTACTTTCAGGGACCAGAGCCAAACCTAAAAGGCTCTGGTGCAGCAGCAGGATGGAAACATTTGGTTGGCCATTTGCAATGAAAGAGCAAGTTCCCGGAGGTCCAGTCCTGAAGGGAAGGGTGGGATGCATTGCAAAGAGGGACCTCATCTACTTTTTTTTTTCATATATACTTTATTTTATTTATTTAGTTTTTAATTGCTACATCAAGTTTTTTACTTCTTATCTTTTATACAGTTTTTAAAGGTTACATTCCATTTACAGTTATTACAAAATATTGGCTATATTCCCCATGCTGTACAATACATCCTCGAGCCTATCTTATACCCAACAGTTTGTACCTGTCACTCCTTCACTCCTATGTTGCTCCTCCCCTCCTCCTCATTGGTAACCACTAGTTTATTCTCTATATCTGTGAGTCTGCTTCTTTTTTGTTACATTCACTAGTTTGTGGTACTTTTTAGATTCCACATATAAATGATATCATACAGTATTTGTCTTTCTCTGTCTGACATTTCACTTAGCATAATGCCCTCCAAGTCCATCCATATTCCTGAAAATGGCAAAATATCCTTCTTTTTTATGGTTTAGTATTCCACTGTATATATATATACCCCATCTTCTTTATCCATGTATCTGTTGATGGACACAAAAAAGATACACAGGTCAATGGAGCAGGATAGAGAGCCCAGAAATAAACCCATCCACTTATGGTCAATTAATCTATGATGAAGGAGGCAAGAATATACAATGGAGAAAAGACAGTCTGTTCAATAAGTGGTGCTGGGAAAACTGGACAGACACATGCAAAACAATGAAATTAGAACATTCTCTAATATCATATACAAAAAATAAACTCAAAATGGATTAAAGACTTAAATGTAACATCAGATACTAAAAAGCTCCTAGAGGAAAACGTAGTCAGAACACTCTTTGGCATAAATTTCAGCAATGTTTTTTTGGATCCGTCTCCTAGAGTAATGGAAACAAAAGCAAAAATAAACAAATGGGACCTAATTAAACTTAAAAGCTTCTGCACAGCAAAGAACCAATGATAAAACAAAAAGACAATCTACTGAATGGGAGAAAATATTTGCAAATGATTTGACCCATAGGAATTAATATCCAACATATATAAACAGCTCAACATCAAAAAACCAAATAACCCACTTAAAAAATGGGCAGAAGAACTGAATAGACATTTTTTTAAAGAGGAAGTGCAGATGGCCAACAGGCACATGAAAAGATGCTCAACGTTGCTAATCATCAGGGAAATGCAAATCAAAACCACAATGAGGTATCACATCACACCTGTCAGAATGGCTATCATCAAAAAGACCACAAACAACAAATGTTGGCCAGGATGTAGAGAAAAGGGAACCCTCGTATACTCTTGGTAAGAATGTAAGTTGGTGCAGCCACTGTGGAAAGCAGTATGGAGGTTTCTCAAAAAACTAAAAATAGAACTACCATATGATCCAGCAATTCCACTCCTGGCTATATATCAAAAAAAAAAAACCCAAAACACTAATTGGAAAAAATACATGTATCCCAGTGTTCATAGCAGCATTATTTACGATTGCCAAGGTGTGGAAAAGACCTCATTTAGTTTGAATTGAGACTCTTGGTAACCAGTCCAATTCAGAAAAGTGTATTTTTTTCTGCTGACTTCTTGTACTCTCAGTCTTTTGTTTTTTTCGCCCTTATTTTGGGTTTTTATGACCTTTGTTTTCTGGAAGCAGTGAAGCTACTGGTGAATATTCAAAGAGAAATCGGAGTCTCTCTCTAGGCCTTCAATATTTCTGATGTCAGCTACCATTTTTATTAAGGATTTCAGGAAGATTTGGATAGCGATGGGGAACATATGGGCAGGTTAGAGTTAGGATTCAGCGATGGTGGACGCTGTTATTCTTGCCACTTGGCATGACCCACTGTGAGCAGTTTTAACATAAATCATGCATGTGCTACTGAGTCTATACATTTTCTTTTTTAGAAATAGCAGCCCATGAGGAAGCTCTTACTGACATTCTACTGGTGGATGTGACTACTAATTCCATTCTGGTAAAGTGAACCAGATGCTAAACTACAATTATTTTGCTTACAATGGACTAACATAAGGGAAGAAATTTTAGGTTGAAAATTTGGTATTTGAAAGTCTTTGATACTTAATTACAAGGACTTAATCTATAGACCTGTTCTGTCCATACACTAGCCACTTGCCAGTTAGTAGCCAGTGACTCCTTAAACTTAAACTAATTTTCATTAAAGTAAATTAAAATTTAGTTCATCAGTTACAGTAGCCACACTTTGAAATGTTCAATAGCCACATGTGCCCAGTGGCACAGTACTGTATTGGGCAGATATAGAAGATGTACATCATCAGAGAAAATTCTATTGGGCAGTACTAGCGCAGACTTTAGTGCAATGTTATAGCTAGATAGGAAAAATGGTTCAGGACATTTTTTGTTGTTGCTTTTGCTTTTTTTCTTTTTTTTTTTATTTGCGGTACGCGGGCCTCTCACTGCTGGGGCCTCTCCCGTTGCGGAGCACAGGCTCCGGACGCGCAGGCTCAGCGGCCATGGCTCACGGGCCCAGCCGCTCCGCGGCATGTGGGATCTTCCCAGACCGGGGCACGAACCCATGTCCCCTGCATTGGCAGGCAGACTCTCAACCACTGTGCCACCAGGGAAGCCCGCTTTTGCTTTTTAATTAAATTGTTTGGGAGTGGGACTGGAGACCAAAAGAAGGGTAAAACGTCATCATTTTTCCAGGAAATGTAGCACAATCGTTCCCTTCACTTCAATTTAAATTATTTTGGGGGGCATTGTGAATTTGGAAGCTGAAACTTGGAGAAATCAGTTAAGTTTAAACACTAGCAACCATGAGCTGGTTTTTTAAATGCTTGACTACACTGTCCACAACGTATAGCATGGTCTTCAGAGCCAGTCATATCTCATGGGTAGTCCCAGCTGGGTTTAAATCTAGTTGCACCGATCACTGTCTGAGCAAGTTTGTGTTTGACCTTTCTCATCTTGAGTTGTATCATCTTTGAAGGGAAAACAGTAATGTCCGTCTGCAAGCATTTGTGGGTAGAGTAAATGCAGGTGTATATAAAATGTGTGGTACATTGTAGAGAGTCAATAAAAAACCAGTTTCCAACTCAGAAATGTATCTTACTTAAAGAGTAATTGTACTCATATTAGATTTTTAACTTCACTTAAAGCTTTAGTTATAAGAATATCAGACCATAAACATTTTCAAAAATGAAGGTAAATATTTATTGGGTCTTTGAATGTGGAAGGACTTTTCAAGTTTAAAGGCAATGGAAAACAGAAAACCCATCAATTTGATAATATAAGGTTTTAAACTACCAGAAACCAACTATATAAATCAAATTAAAAGGTGAAAAAATTGGGAAATGTATCTTCAGCTAATATGACAAACAAAATGTTATTGTGCTTAATTTTTAAAAGTAAATGGTCATAAAGATCTATGAGAAAAAATTCCATATAAGGCAATGAATAAAGGATATAACATTGCATAGAAATATAAATAAAAATTGCTAACAAATGAAAAATATTTCAATGTTAGAAATTTAAAATGTGCAAATTAAAGTAACTGAAGATTCTTTTACTTCTTTTCTTCTCTCTTTCTTTTTTTCTCTTTCTCTCTCTTTCTGGCCTGTAAATGTGGTGATGAAAAAAAATACATAGGGCTTCCCTGGTGGCACAGTGGTTGAGAGTCCGCCTGACGATGCAGGGGACACGGGTTTGTGCCCCGGTCCGGGAAGATCCCACATGCCGCGGAGAGGCTGGGCCAGTGAGCCATGGCCGCTGAGCCTGCGCGTCCGGAGCCTGTGCTCCGCAACGGGAGAGGCCACAACAGTGAGAGGCCCGCGTACCGCAAAACAACAACAACAACAACAACAACAACAACAACAAAACCATAAATACAGTTCAGGAGAGACGTGAGGCAGGCATTCACTCTACACTAAAAATAGTAATTGTAAGACAAAGATAAATTTTTGGATAGTAGAGCAATATATTTTTGTTTGGGATATTTACCAATTGCTGGTATTGTCTTCTGGTCCCATATCAAGGGCTAAGTCTGGAGGACTCAGACCATAGAGTTCCTTCCATGGCAGAGAAGAGATTCCCATTGGTCTCTCTTAGACCATGTGGTTTTACTGCCTTAAGGAAGAGGAGCTCCAGCCGAGAAGACGGAATGTCAAGTCAAGAGGGAATGTCAAGCTCCTTCCTGCCTGGGTGATAGTGGGAAGGAAAAAAAGAATAGGAAGATTATGGAAGTACATTGTCGGGGTTCTTAATCTCCTGTCTTAGTCAAATTTTTGAGGCAGACTTGTGAGAGTAAGAGTGAGATGATAAGGTTGAAATTTCCAGAAAGGAATAGATAAACTGGAGGACAGCCATACCAGTAGCAAGTGTGGTACCATATCCACTTTGTTCCAAGCATTAGCATTGCTCTGGTAGATGGAATTGGCTAGGCCAGTGGGTCTGAGGTTGTGGCCCTGGTTGCTAATGGTTTGGTAAGGAGATAAAAGGACGATTTGAGGACTAGCAGACCAGCAGCCTCAGAGGCTGGGGCTTTGGGCAGAAGCAGGTTGCCTGGACTTCAGCCGTAGGTGATGACATGAAACAATGATTGTGCTGAAGCACAGCACTCTGGGATCAGGCTGGATAGAGAAAACGAAGTACTGAACACAGTGCTTGGCACACAGTGCATGTTAATTATCATAGTAACAAGAATACGGTCAACTACCGTGTGACCATTAAAATGTTCACAAATAACTTTTTATCTTAGGAAGAAATGCTTGTGTTATTACATTTTTAATGGAAGGGCACAGAGGGTGTATCTTTAATATTACATATGCACAAAAAGGACTGTACAGAAAAATACCATAGTATTTACAGTTATGAATCTTCCAAAATTTATCTACCTGCTTTACTGTTGATGGACAGTGCTGCTGTGATGAATAGCGCTGCTATGAACATTCTTTTTCCATGTCTTTTCACTCACAAGTGCACACATTTCTGCTGGGGTAGAACCTAGAAGTAGAATATCTATGTCCTGCAGTGTGGAGAGGGTTGGTTGCTTTAGTAGTAATGCCACAGAGTGTCCCAGAGTGATTGTATGAATTTACACACTCCCCAGCGGCTTATGAGAGTTCTCATTGTTGCCCACCTCGGTGAACACGTGGTATCATCTTAGCCCTTTTGGGTGGGTGTGTAGTGGTTTCTCAGGATGGTTACTTGCATTTCCCTGTTTTCTGATGAGCTGAAGCCCCTTTGCATATGTTGACTAGCCTTCTGTGAATGTCTGTTCAAGTCCCTTGCCCATTTTCTCATGCATTACTTTTATAATCATAAAAATTCTCACATACACAAAAACAAAAAGTATTAAATCGCTGTCTACCTTGCCCTTAATCTTACTTATACAAGCAATCTGACTGAGGGGTAGCATCTTAACTGGCTCTCCAAAAATGGACGACCAACTTGAAGTAGAAATTGTTTTCTCTGTTCCTTTCTAGAGATGTCTCTCATTTTATAAATTGTGTGTTATTATTTATGCACTTATGTCTTCTGTTAGACTATTAACTCTCTATTAACTGTTAACAGTGGCAACTTTTCTGATTCCTCTTTGCATAATACACCTAGCACCGTATACCTGCACACAATAAAAGTTTTTTGGATGAACAGAAATGCACAGCCTTGAATAGCATTTATAGAATCTAAGCATTGGAATGCAAAATTCAAATAATCTAGTTTACCCTCTCATTTCAAAGGTGACCAAATTGAGGTGCAGAGACCTGGGTCCAAGAACAAATGAGCTATGGGGTGTGGGAAGGACCGTGGTTCCTAGTCCGTCCTTGTTGAGTTACACCCCACTGTCTTCTAAGAGACAAGGAGAAGGTAAGCAATGAATTCTTGGTGTAACTGACTCCAAACTAATACCACAGAAGCCCTGTCTACTAAATAATTTATAAACTTAGAATAAAACTCTTCCAGAGAGGAGGCACTTCAACTGTGCCGGCACCAAAAGATACTCTCAACGGGCATGCACAGTCAGGTTTGCCATTATATTTTTCTGTCAGATGAGGTTTGGTTGCAAAGATGTTTTAGGATCATTATCTTAGAAGAAATGTGTCACTCTGACAAAAACATAAGTACAGATAATAAGTTGAAAATTGTGAGATCATGGCAAGCATTGCAGGCAAAATTGGACGAATTGCTGGACAGATATTTTAAAGGGCAAAGAGTGAATCATGCCACCTGTGAAAAATGATCCATCTATGCACGCCTCAGTAATCAGTACTAGAGAGAACAAAGGACTGAGGAAATGGAAATAAATATATCGGGTGGGCCAATATAGCAAATGTGAAGGTCAGCCCTTGAGTTCATGCCTAGGATCCAATGCCATTTCCTTCACTAAAACACAGCAAATGAAGCAAGAGGTGGAGGACCTCCCAGCTACACCCAGGGGCCATCCCTGAGAATATCCTGAAAACCACTCAAACATCCAGCCCTGCCCGCTGCCGGGGCAAGTAAATGACGATCCAGCAAGAAAATCCTGGAGCCCATTGAAGGGGATCGGGACATGCCACCCTCAAATATGTCACTTTGGCATATTGATTATTTTGAGCTGAAGGCAATTGACATACAGCAGGTTCAGGAAGGCCTCTCTGCCCTTCTCCTTCTGCCCAAAAGCCAGGCGTAAATTTCCCATGAGAAAGGTGCCCTCCCAGTACCAGGAAGAAGAGAAACTTCTTATCACTGGAGAAGGGGAGTTGATGTTCAGATGAGTCTGAACAAACAGACCTTTTGAAAATAACCTTTCTCTTGCACTGGGGAGGGGAAATTTCCCCCTACCCATCTTGAGTTCTTGTGGCTGCACTAATGATGAAATTGCACAGGACAGATGAACAGGAGAAAAAGAAACAAACTTTAACTTTCTCATAGAAAAGGGACCTAAGAAGTGGACAAAGCAGACATATTTTATACTTTTTAGACAAAGAAACAATAAATTGGTAAGGAATTGACAGGACAAAAAACTTAGGCTTTGGGTGCTCAATTAGTGAGAATCTAAACAGGGTTTGGGCTTGGGCTAGTAAAGAAGTAACAAGGTTTGTTTTACAGGCTTCTCGGCCTGAATTCCCTCTCTCTGGTGATCAGGGTGTCCTTCTACCTCCAGATGCAGGGACTGCACCTTTCACATGAGAGGTTTAGTTCCTGTTTTCAGTGGGACAGAAAGGAGGTCAGAACGTCCATATTGCATTGGACATTTCTTAAGTAACTTCTGTTCTAGATAATCAATATGCCATTGGGGCATATTTTTGGCTGGTGCGCCCTGGGTCCCAAAATTCCATTAGTTTCCCTAGTGTATTTCCTAGTCACTTCACATAATTAACATCCCTAGACGCCTAAACTCCTTTCCTTTGCCTAGTCATTTCTTAACAATTTGTTGTCCCTTGTTAAGATGGTATATAAGCTCCCAAGTCTTGGGTTTTTTAAAAATTTCTTTCCTATAAAGTCTTTCCCCCACCTCTATGTCACATAAAAATGTTAACATCAAATAAATTTGTATGCATTTCTTCTGTCTTTTGTCTTGTAGGGGAGGTAAAATTCTCCTCTAGTTTGTTGGGTCTCCGACTGTCCCTAAGAATCAAACTGTGATAAGACGTATTAGTAGGAGAAAAGCATACACATTGGGTTAAATTTTTACATGTACATGGAAGATTTCTCAAGAGAATGAAGCCCCTAAGTGACAAAAGTGGGAAGCTTTTATACTTTTTAGACAAAGAAACAATAAATTTGTGAAGAATTCACACAACACAGGGGTTTGGGTTGGGGGTAATAAATGGTGAAGAAGTTTCTAGGAAAAAAAGTGTCAGTAAAACAAGGTTTGTTTGTATAGATTTCTTAGCCCCCAACTCCCCACCTCTGGTGGGTGATAAGAATGTCTTCCTTTTTTCTGACACAGGGAGGGCACCTTTCACAAGGGAGTTTTATCTCCAGCTTTCAGGAGGAAAAAGGAGGATCAGAGTGTCCTTCTTGTACCAGCTGTTTCTTAACTGCCTATAATTCAAAATAATCAATATGCCCAAGTGGCATATTTTAGGGTTACATATTTTGGTTTCCTTCAGTCATTTTAATTCACAGCCTACAGAAAAAGAACCTAAGAGGGTAAAGGAATAGTTTTTTCTCCCCTAGATTATATAATGACCGCCAGGAACTTGGGTTTTGAGAGATAGAGAGGTCAGGTCAGCCCCCTCTTGTGTTGTTGTCCATGATGTCATAATCAGTTTAGCAGGGATTTTCCCAAGGTTAGAAGTTGCCTTTGATTCCTGTGTTTGGGACTTCGAAGGCAGCCTTTGACCTTGGCAGCACCTAATGGAAAGTACTGGAGGGACCTGTGTAAAGACTCAGCATTAGGCTTGTGGTGGCAGAAATAAAACAGATCCACCCGGCCACCCAGCCAGGAGGCTAGGCACAAAATAGCCCGAGGTAAATTTAGAGAAGTGTAGAATGTGAATTCAATAACTCCAGGCTTTAGCATGGTGAAAATGTGACTGAGGTTTTCATAAATTTAATGCCTATTAAGATTTGTATAACATCAAAACATAGTTGGTAAGAGGTTTCATAGAACATTGGAAATATCATCAAGTGAGATATAATTTTCCTCAGTAGATCTTCATTTTAGTTAAAGTTGCTTTATTTTAGAAAAAAGATGCTTAACACAATGACAACATATTCAAGTAGAGAGGAAAAGAGTTTATCAAATTCTAAAACATGAACAAAATCATTCTCCATTCTATTTGGTGGAAATACATCAAGAAGCAAGACAGGGCTTCCCTGGTGGCGCAGTGGTTGAGAGTCCGCCTGACGATGCAGGGGACACGGGTTCGTGCCCCGGTCCGGGAAGATCTCACATGCCTTGGAGCGGCTGGGCCCGTGAGCCGTGGCCGCTGGGCCTGCGCGTCCGGAGCCTGTGCTCCACAGTGAGAGAGGCCACAACACTGAGAGGCCCGTGTACCGCAAAAACAAAAACAAAAACAAAAAAAAATGAAGCAAGACAATATTAACCACCTTTTGGCCTCCTTTTACTTATAAACAAAAGAATAAATGAATAAACTTTTGAAACTTGACCTGCTCGTGAACAGAAGAGCTCCTGGATTGGAAAATTTTGCAAATGCTTTCCCACCTCAGATACACAACCAGTTTCTCACAGCAGTGCCCTACTTTGAGAGTGGAGAGACTGGATCTTATGATTCTTTGTCTTTCCTAAAGTATGGGCAAGATAGCAGATCTTTGATACATATTATTTGCTGACTGCTTGAAAGGAATAGTCCTTTATACAGTTTGGAAGGAAATGGCCACGGAACAAATACAGCAATAGTTCTGAAGTGTATTTAAAGTATAGAGTGTTCAGGCAAAGAGGTGAAAGCGCATTGGGTTGGTTTTCAGTTCATAAGTTATCTTGCTCCAAGAGATATATGTGCGGGTGTGTGTGTAAGTTTCTTGTTAGTAACAGGAAAGACACAAGATTTTGAACACAGCAGGAAATAATCTTTTTTTTAAACTCTTTTATTTAATTCTTCCTAGGCTTTAGGTTGAGAATTTTCCAGGATGAAGTCACCTTCATGCTGTGGTTTGCAGCTGGATAAAGTCTAAAGTGTAGTTCTTGACCCAACTCACGAATCCCCCCACCAACAAAGATCCTTTAGGGCAGTGGTCCCTAAACCTGGTTTCGTGGAAGACAACTTTTCCATGCACAGGGGAGATGGTGGGATGGTTCAGGCGGTAATGCAAGCGATGGGGAGCAATGGGGAGCAGCAGATGAAGCTTTGATTGCTCGACCGTCGCTCACCTCCTGCTGTGTGGCCTGGTTCCTAACAGGCCATGGTACTGGCACCAGTCCGAGGCCCGGGGGCTGGAGACCCCTGCTTTAGGGGATTTAACAATTTAAATTTCATCAAAGTAGGGAAATACAGGACAAACTTGAGCTGCCCAAATCTTTGGTAAGGAGAATGACTTTTGTTGTGACTTGCTATTCTCTGGCACTTCTTCAACCCAACCAGAAAAAAAGAATAGGATGAAAGAATAATGAGGCCAAAGCTAACCCAACCCTGGTCTCTACCTGTTTCTGCAAAATCAAGATTTAGAAAGCTGCAGCTTCAACTACCAGACAGTTGGCCCTCAGCCCTTCTGTGAAAGTCAATGCCTTTCTCCCGTCTGTGGTTCCTCTTTGTCCTTGCTCCTTGCCAAGCAATGGTGTGTGTGTGTGTGTGTACGTGTGTGTGTGTGTGTGTGTGTGTGTGTGTGTTTCTTACTTCTTCAACTAAAGGAGTGATTCTCAACCTGGGGTGATTTTGCCCCATCCTTCCTAAATATTTGTCAATGTCTGGAGACATGTTTGATTGTCACAACTGGGTGTGCTACTGGTATCTAGTGGGTAGAGGCCAGAGATGCTGCTAAACATCCTACCATGCACAGGACAACTCCCACATCACAGAGTTACATGGCCTAAAATGTCAATATTCCTAAGGTTGAGGAACACTGCTCTAAATGGTTAGATGTGAGGCCTTACTGGTCATAGAACAGTGCATAGAGAAGCCTCCATTAAGGAACAGTTAGCAACCATAAGTTGTTTCTGGTAAAACAACAGCAAGATAGTGAGATGGGTAGATACACGGGCTTTTTGAGCCCACAATCTGAACTCTGCCACTCAGCAGCAAGATGTCATTGACAAGTTAGTTACCTTCTCTCTACCTATTGGGAAAACATAATTAAAAACACAATCTCCTCCCAACCCAGAAAACCTTGCTACAAAGGTAGAAGGAAAAGAAAACAATTTTATTATTGATTAAACATGAATGTGATACACATCACAAGCAACCTGCTAAAGGGATTGCTAAAACAGAAAGAAATCTCACTCATATAGTTAAGGGGATCCAATCTGTTACATTAGGTGGGTTTTGCAATTGACGGTCTGGTGACCAGTAGACCCATCTCTTCCCAGCACACTGGAACACTGGTCACTGGCTTTCTTGATGATTACATTTCAAAGAGATAGCTCCCAGTCCTTGAGTTGTGGGACTGGCCAGCAGCTTATCTAGCCATTAAAAAGATTTATGTACATTTGAAAAGGACAAAGAAAGAAGTTCTGCAAGAAAGGGCAGAGCTGTGAATCTCTTCCCTTCTTTTTCAACAGAGGGGCTGAAACCTCTAATTTTTAATTTGTATTTGCCTTTATATACCTCAACTTACTTGTATATAAAAAGAGGAGAATAATAGTAATAATAATATTTACTTCTTAGAGTTGCTGTAAGAATTATATGAGTTAAAACATGTATTAAGTTGTTATATTGATTAAACAAGGAGACCATTAGAATGAGGTAGCTCTCATGCTGTCAGTGGCGTACATACACAAACCAAAATCCATGCCTGTAAATGCCTCAAGTTTACAAAATCAAAATGCTAAGGACAACCGATCACAGCCAACTAGACTTCAAGCTATAGCCAATCAAATAATTTCCTTTCTTTGCTTCCCTCTCCATAAAGTCTTACCATTGGCTCCTACTGGTGGAGCACTCCTAACCACTTCCAGTTTGGTGCTGCCCAGCTGGAATTGAATTTTGCTCAGATAAACTCTTAAAATGTAAAAGTATGCCTCAGTTTATGTTTAACAGGGTTTAAACCAGTGTTTGGCACTCAATAAATGTCTGCTGCTTTAAGGCCTTGTGATAGTCAGAATTGTAAGGTGGGCCCAACATTCCTGCCCCTGGGGATACACTCATTGTGTAATTCCCTCTCCTTGAATATGGGCAGAACCTTTGGATCAAGGGCACATCACTCTTGTAATGAGTTTACTCACCAGTTGACTCTGAGTTCATTTAATGGGAGATTATCTAGTGGGCCTGATGGAATCACACAGGTCCTTTACAACTGGGTCTAGAAGTCAAGAGACAGAAAAAAACAGAATGATTGGAAGCAAAAGAGGGCCTATGGAGGAGGCCATGTGGCAGTGAACAGCAGGTGGCCTCTAGGAGCACAGAGTGGCCCTGGCAGACAGCCAGCAAGAGAACAGGGGCCTCAGTCCCACAACCACAAGCAACTGAATTCTGCTAACAACCACATAAACTTGGAAAAGGACCCCGAGCTCCAGAAAGGAATGCAGCCTTGCCAACACCTTTATTTCAGTTCTGTGAAACCCTAAGCAGAGGACCTAGCTCACTTGGGCCTGGACTTCTGACCTACAGAAACTGTATAGATAATAAATGATTGTTGTTTTAAACCTCTAAGTGTGTGGTAATTTATTATGAGCAATAGGAAACTAATACAGATCTCAAAACAAAACAAAACAAAACAAAAAGGTGACAGTTCAATCTTATGTCATCAACTAAGGGTCAGTGGAAGGACTGGACCCAGAGGGTCAACTTCATCACTACCTATATCTAAGCAACACCTAAAGTCATTATTGAAGTAGGAAAACCTATCGAAAAATACACTAAACAAACAAACTGTGTGTGAGACTCTGGGCAAATCCTTTCAGCTTGGTTTCCTTTCTACAAAGTGAGTAAGTTGAACCAGATGGCAACTAGGCTGCTCTGTTTACTGCTATTCTGAAGTTTCTCAGCATCCCAAACAGTGAGTGTAGCAGGAATGGGGGTGCATTTGTAATAGGGACCATTTCGTGACTGAGCAAGCTGGACTGTACATTTCACGTCCCCTTTCACAGACACATTTTGGATGCTCCTAAGAGTATAGACAGGGATTCACACAGGCAAGCCTCCAAACATTTAGTGGGCTTGGCTCAAAAGTATCTTACTTATAGATTCCTTTTTCTCTTAGAGATTTAAATCACTTGAAATACATGTAATTAATCTTTGATTCATCTTAAAGAATAAAAAGGGACTTTATGCAAGGGTTCTGGAAAGCTACTGATGTACCCAAGAACACACTCAGGTGCTAGTCAACACCAAGCAGAGGGGAGCCTGGTACAAAGTTCTTTGGCTTCAGTTTGGCTATGAAGCTCTTCAGTAGCCAGTTAAAATGAAGGTGTCCTGATCTTCACCAGCTCTCCCAGGGATTCTAATTGGGAAGGTGCTGCGAAGGGCCCCAGGAGTTTGCATTTTTAGCCAGCAACTATGATGATTCTGAAAGCAGGTGGTCTGTGATCTGAACTAAGAAAAACTCAAGGCTTGAAAGAAGTATCACAAATAGTAAATTGGAGATTACTTGGAGTACCAGGAAGCAGAATCCAACTCCTGTGACTGAATAAAGACATCTCAATGAAGAAATGATATGGGTGTGGACAGGTTTAAGGGAAGCAGTAGGAGTTGTTAAAGCACTCAGAGCCTGGCAACAGTGGGAAGTCATCACCACCCACAGGACCAAAGGAACAAGAGGAGGGCAATAGTGTCACTAAATCCCATTGAACAATAGGCCTGATGAGGATGGCTCCCAGCAGGGGCTGTGGTGAAGAAGAGATGCAGCAAATGCCGGAGACTCAGTGAAAGCAGGGAAGGTACAAGGAGGAAGGGAGAGAGAGCCCTCCAAGGTGGAACCCAACTGGAAGCAGGCCAGCAAGAATCCTGAACACATTCCCCCAAGTGCTTCAGGAGCACCGAACAGGGCAGAGGAGGACAGTAAATGGATGGGAATGGCAGGAGTCACAATGAAAAATAATCAGCACACATTAAATCTCAAGAAAAGAATCAGCATCAACATGAAGAACTGCTGGTCAATTTAAAAAGTGAGCAGACCAAAGGGAAGCAATAACTACTGGAGAGAATCAGTTATATAAGGTGTTCCAGGCCAGATGCCTGGGACTCAGGATGGAGATGTGGACGTAAGAGAGTGCGTGAGAAGGACGAAAGAAGATGGTAGGGTAGGGATCTGGTGCTTGTGCACCTGACAGATTACTCTGCTGCAGTCATCACTGAAAACCACGAGAATTACATCCACACGTATTGTAGCAGCCTTCAAGACAGTCAGGCTGGACGGCATCAGCTCTCTCGTGCACCAATCCAATGTCTTTCTTTGCTAACAGCATTGCCAAAGCTCACTGCTGCCTTCTGGATAAAACAAATCAACGTTAACTAACGCATAGAACGCTCATCATAAACTGCCTTTTCATTATGATTAATGATGGAGCATCTATTTCCCTCACTGGATTATGACCACTATTCAAAAAATCACCAACTGAAAAAAAGTTTTTCATGTAACTGGGCGACATAGTTCAGCTCACAGTAGAGCTGAGATATACAGAGAAAAAGGAATTTATTGTTTGTTCAACTAAAGTGGCTCTCCTCCGAAGTCCCCACCCACTGGTAAGTAGGAGAAAGGCTAAATGTCCAGTCTGATTTAAAGCTCCAGTGATTTTAATAGTGCCTTAGGCTATCTTAAATCACTATTGGATAAAGCTGCTCAGTGGCCCAGTTAGCCTGGTCTTCACCCAGCTGAAATGGTGGAGTCTAGAGCATGGCTTATTGACTCCCTGTTGTACTGGGGGAGGAGAGGAGGGTTTGGACAGGCCCCTGGCTTCATGAGGGTTCATGGGTTGTACTGGCAGGAATCCGCCCATCTCCAGTAGGCAGCTTCTTGCCCAGGACGCCCGGTTGCATTTCAGGACTAAAATCTGCAGGTGGAAAACTCTGGCTCCAGCAAGGTTCTTGAAAATAACTTGTCATGCCTCTCCTGCTCACTGACTCTGCTGCTCTTCAACACTAATGAACTACAGCCCCTGGGTTTCTGCTGTATTCCCTTCAGCTCCTTGGCCTGGCTATCTACCCATGACTCGCTGTGGGGTCACCTTGCCTGTGGCTGGTCCTCTGCATTCAACTCCAGCATCCTGTGGGGCAAAAGAAACAAGAGAGGTTCCAGAATGCCAGCTAGACCTTTCTTATCTGCTCATGTCCTTTCACCCTCTTGAGTACATAGATGACCACATGTTGTCATGTACCTTCTGCACTATAATCATCTCCTAAGATCCAAATGGGTGGGTTGGGGAGCCCCTTGCTCTGAGTGATTCCTTCAATTTACCTAAAATATATACAGTCAATCCTCATTATTAGCAGATTTCATATTTGTGAATTTGCTCACTTGCTAAAATTTATTTTAACCCCCAAATCAACACTCTTGCACTTTCACCACCATTTGTGGACACATGCAGAGTGGTGAAAAATTTGAGCTGCCCTTTGTGTATGTTTCTAGGTGAAGTCCTATAAGGTGACACTTTGCCTTCTTGTTTCAGGGCTCACACTGTACGCAAGTGTTCTTTTCATGTTCTACTTAGTGCCACATTTTTCAAATTTCTGTGTTTTGAATTGGTGATTTTACTGTTTTAAAATGGCCCACTGCTGTAGTCCTGAAGTGCCATGTAGCCTTCCTAAGGACAAGAAGGCTGTGAAGTGCCTTACGAGAAAATACATGTTGTATGTGCTGAACACATGAGAAAATACATATGGTGTGGACTGAATGCTTGTGTCCTCAAAATTCATATGTTGAATCTTAACCCCCAGTGTCATGTATTTGAAGATGGGACATCTAAGGAGGTAATGAGGGTCAAATGAGATCTTAAGGGTGGAGCCTTGATTAATGTCATAAGAAGAGTTGAGAGCTCTCTTTCTGCAATCAGAGGAAAAGCTATGTGAGGACAAAGTGACCCTGTAAAGGCCAGGAAGAAAGCTCTCACCAGAAATCTTCCGTAACCTTGGTCTTGGACTTTCCAGCCTCCAGAACTGTGAGAAAATAAATTTCTGTTAAGTCACAGAGTCTGTGGTATTTTGTTATGACATCTTGAGCTGACTAAGACAACATGTTTTAAATAAGCTTCCTTCATGCATTATAGAGCTGTTGGCTGTGAGTTCAGTGTTCTTGAATTAACAATATCTATTAAATAAGGTGTTTTTAAACAGATACACACATTAAACAGGGTTATATATCAACTGGTTAATGAATTAAAAACTTCTGCTCCATGAAAGACACTGTCAAAAGAATGAGAAGACAAGCCACAGAATGGGAGAAAGTATTTCAAAAGATATCTGAAAAAGGACTCTTATTCCACATATACAAAGAACTCATAAAACTCAACAATAAGAAAAGGAACAACTTGTTTAAATCATGGGTAAAAGACCTGAACACACTTCTCACCAACAATGATATACAGATGGCAAACAAGTGTATGAAAAGATACTCCACATCATGTCATTAGCAAAAGGCAAATTAAAACAGTGATAAGATACCAGTGCACGCCTATTAGAATAGTCCAAATGCAGAACAGGGACAACACCAAATACTAGCAAGGATGGGGAGCAAAAGGAACTCTCTTTCATCACTGATGGGAATATAAAATCGTGCAGCCATTTTGGAAGACAGTGTCTTACAAAACTAAAAACTAAACATGTTCGTACCATACGATCAAGCAGTCACAGTCCTTTACTCAATGTATTTACTCAAAAGAGTTGAAAACTTATGTCCACACAAAAACCTGCACATGGGTGTTTATAGCAGCTTTATTCATAATTGCCAAAGCTTGGAAGCAACCAAGGTGTCCTCCAGTACATGAAAAGATCAATAAACTGTGTGCATTAGTCTGTTCCAGCTGCTAAAACAAAATACCACAGACTGTATGACTTAAATAACAGAAACATTTTTTTTTGCAGTTCTGAAGGCTGGAAGTCCAAGATTAAAGTACTGAAAATTTTGGTCACTGGTGAGAGATTTATTCCTGGCTTTCAGATGGCCACCTTTTATTCTGTCCTTACATGGCCTGTTTTCTGTGTGGCATGCTTCTTATAAGGACACCAGTCCTACTGGATTAGGGCCCTACCTTTGCGACCTCATTTAGCCGTAATTACCTCCGTAAATGCTTTATCTTCAAATACAGTCACATCAGGGGCTAAGGATTCAACATATGAATTTTGGGAGGACACAGTTCAGTCCATAACGATGAGGTACATCCAGACAATGGGTTATTATTTAGTATTAAAAAGAAATGAGCTACCAAGCCATGAAAAGACATGGGAGGACCTTAAATGCATATTACTAAGTGAAAGAAGCCAAGCTGAAATGGCTCCATAATGTATGATTCCAACTATATGACTGACGATGGAGGCAGTGAAAGATCAGTGGTTGCTGGGATTAGGGGAGAGGAAGGGATAAACAGGAAATTTTTAGGTAGTGACACTATCAGGTATGATACTATAATGGTAGCTACGTGTCATTGTTCGTCAAAACCCATAGAATGTACAATACCAGGGATGAACTCTAATGTAAACTATGGGCTTCGGATAATTAT